TATATATATATATATATATATATATATATATTTAAAATTTTGGGGAGTGGGAGGGGGAGGAGAAAGGAAGGGGAGACTTGAACTCTTGATCTCAAGAAGGTAAAAATTTTATAAGATAAAGAATACCATTAGACTAAAGACCTATTAGTAAAACTCAAAATATCTGAATTTATAACTCTTCTATGTTATTAATTAAAATATCTTTTGAATTGACAACATTTATATCACTAAGCAATGATCCTTGTGGCCTAAAACAAAAGGGTGTTTGGTTGATTTTTTGAGAGAAGTTTAGATTGACTTGTCTAAATTCAAAGATGAGATTTAAATATGATATTCAACATTTAATGTCATTCATACTCATATTTGATATGCGTATAGATATATGATTATTATAATAATATATTTATATATGAATGACTATTGTGCCCCTTAACCAATTTAATCTAAACTCTTGTTTATTTACGTACATGAAATATATGGGAGTATAAATGTCATTTATATGTTCAACCCTTTATGAAACCCACCCTCCCACCGTATTTTATGAAACTCACGAACTTGAATTAACTATGTATATATCAAACATAAATTTAATGAGATTTATTCCCCGACTCATCTTCCAAAATCCTCGAGCTCACGTGCCAAACACGCCTAAGGTGGTGAGTTATTACCAAATCTCATCCCTACTTGACAGTACAGTCCATCCCTCTAACATCAAATTCTTAGTACGCTATCCTCTTTTGTTACCAAAGTGAGCAATTGATAACGTTTTTTAAAAGGTCTAAAAGAAACCCTTACTATTTCATTAATTTCACTGCATTACGCTTCTGTACGACTGTACCCAACCTCTGCCTAAGGCTATTTTAGACATGACATTGTAACACGATTTATGACTTAAATTTTGAGTCTAAATTTGAAAAAAAAAATTAATTTAATATAGAGTACTCTAATGGATAAACTCAGATATCTATTTAAATCTTTTAAAAAATTTCCTTATTATCTAAAAACTCATTTTTTTTTTGTGTCATTCAAATCATAATATTTGATAAAATAAATAAAACTTTCATCTCTCTACAAATGGATAATTAAAAAAAAAAAAGAATATGTATGTAACACTATACGAAAATAAAAAAATCACCCCAGAATTTTAAGATTATTTTAATCATTTATCATTTTTTATAAATCCACATAAAGAAAAAAAAAATAGTTAATATGGGCATGGTCTGAAGACCACAAAACCATACTATTTTTTAACAAAAATGGAAGATTGAAAAAATAAAATTTTCTAAATTTGTGGGTACCGAAAGCTTAAAATTTCAGGAAGAATAGGTGGTTTGAAATTGCACTACCGATAGTGTTTAACTCGAAAAAATAGAAGAAAAATTTCATGGGTAAGTTTAGGGTTTATATAGTATGAAAAATAGGTGAGATTAAGATTTTGAAAAATACAAGAAATTAGGAAAATGGAAGATGAAAAGCAAAAAACTTACCTACGAACCTTCAAATGATTTGTGAAAGTTTTGGTGGTAGTCGGCGATGAAAGCAATGTCGTAGAGAAAGGCAAGAAGAAACAAAGAATAAATAGTCAAAAAAGTCTTTTAGTTTTGAATAGACTAAAAAGTTACCATTAAAAATTTGATATAAAATTTAAGTCTGCTTCAATTTATGTGCAGAATAAATTTTGTTTTGATTTAGTATAAGTTGGAATCTAAGGTTGGAAAAAATTTTAGGCCATTTTGACTTAAATTTAAATTTGAATCTACATTTGAGTCAGGTTAAAGATGATCTAAATGGGTCAAGTTTGTTTTAAACACAAATAACTCAAAATTGACAGGATAAACATATTTGGTAAATATAATATAATATTATGATCATTTTTATCACACATTGACATGAATTAATGTAATTTGGGAAATTTTTTTGTTTGTTTTTTTATTACATAGAATTAAATAAATTTTTAGCCAATAAAAATTATGAGTGACAGGTTTGAGTGAGAAATGATGTGATCTTAGTACAATATTTTTAATTCATAAATTGTACGAGTCCACTTAATACAACATGATAATAAGTTTAATGTCATCACATCTAAACACGATTTTACTGAAATGAATTAGGTTAGACCCCCCTCAACTCCACCCATAAACCCCCTCAACACAACCCAACCTCTTTACCATTTCTGTTTTTCATGTAACTTTTGGATGCCACGAGGAAAACAAAGCTGAGTAAAGGGTCTTACAATCTCACTTTGACTCGCATCCATTTTGCTTAGACTCCCAATAAAAGGCAACCAATGAAAAGTACATAATATCAATTAATAGAAGTAGCTGCTAGAAACCAATGGACTATATAACCAAAAGAAGAGACAATTCCAAGGATCAGAGTGACACAGAGCCCTCTAATACTTTGCTAGTTACCCTGAATACAACAAAGTCTCGTCTCCTGCAAAGCCGAAAGCAAAATCATCTCCCAACTTTCTCTTTCATCTTCCTTGCCTCTATCCCCTCTATAGGGGGTGTCAAAATGGCATATCAAGTAAGCATGTACAATTGTAAGGTGTGGACCAGGTATGCCAAAAAAGAATATGACAGTAGATCAATGTATATCACAGTATTTAGGCCGCTTTGAAGGACATTGCAGAGAGAATGATAATGGGGATTGTGGCGGGGTTTGTGTTAAATCAATAGCGAGCGATGATGGGGATGATGGCAATAGTGGTGGTGATAGTGAAGGTGACGATGGATCATCTCGAAGCTTTCTCTTGCGATTCTGTCTCGCTCCATTTTCCTCTCCCTCCCCCCTTATTATGACATTATTTTTCAGGCGCTTCACGTCTGAAAGCTTTACTGGCTTCACTAGAAACTCCTCTGCCCCTTCCTCCAAACACCTACATCAGTCGGAAAATATATAGTTAGCAGATGAAAGGGCATTTATCAAAAAGAAGTTTGTTGTTCAGACTGGGTTGTCCTGAAATACAAAACACTTAAAATGCAAAAATTCAAAGGATTTGGATGGTGGCATATGATTATTAACAGATACTATGCCCAAATTAATTCAATATTGACCCATTGACGACCCTTTAACTTCTTTTTTCCCACACATGCAATACCCGACATGGTATTTATAAAAACAGAAATTGAAACATTCATGGCAGAAATAATCGATACCTATCAATGCGAGTTAGAATGTTCTCTGATGACATGATCACCACTGGTATTTGTCTCAATGTTGATGAACCCTGCTTGAACAATGAAAGTGTTGATAACAAAGTTTAGTATTTAACAGCAACAGCAACATTTGTTTGGTTTCTTAGAGCATTCAAATCTCAGGCTTTGTTTCCTTGCCGAGAAAATTTGGGTAAAACCCAAAAACATAAATCTAACCTTGATCTTCTTGAGTAATTCATATCCAGTCATCCCAGGCATAGAATAGTCTGTCATTATGAGATTCACCTTCAAACCCTAAAACAAAATGCCACTATTAAGTGCCCAACAAATATTGAAATTTTCTTTTTTGGTGCAGAGAAATAAGAACGCAGTAATAATCAGAGGTTGGCATTCTCTCCTCGACCTTCTCAGCAACCAAAGTTATGGAATATGCAGTATTCTGTTTGTTTGCAGAGAAAATCGGAAGGAAGAAAAAACTTTCGCAAGTCTACGTCTATTCATTATTCAATAGAAACATAATATCAACTACGTGAAGGGAAAAAAAAAAAAACATTTTCCTTCGTTTTCCTCCGCATTTCTCAGCAACCAAACATAAAAACAATATAAATTCGAACAATTTCTTACATCGAACCCAACCGAGCTCTTCTCTCCATCCAAACCAAGATACTGCAGGGCTCTGCTTCCACTCTCTACAGCCGTCACTACACATTCCAATCCAATCGGATTTCAATAACGAATCAAATCTCAACACAAGAAGAACAGCTTCAATTAATACAGCAATCGAAATAAACATACCTTTACAAGAGGAGATCTTTAACAATCGTTCAATGACCTTCCGATCCACGTGGCTGTCGTCAACAGCAAGAACATGTAGCTCCTGTGAACCCAACGACGACGATTGGTCCAAAACTTCCACTCTCTCCTCCACCGTTGTCGCCATTTCCGAATCTGTGCTCTTTGACTGGGTTTACATTTGGACAAGCATTTACATTATCCCATATACAGGAGACAGGAAGAGTGGGAAGACGTACTACTTTAGCTATAAAGGCAAAGATACGGAGAGAGGTTAGCAAATCCACCTCGCATATCTTTTTTGTACTCTTCTCCTGACAAATACTCTCTCTCTCTCTCTCTCTCTCTCTCTCTCTCTCACACACACACACACACACACAACTTTTAGTACATGAATAATGATACGCCTGATTTACACAACACAACCTCAGTTACACCACTTGTCGGATAATCACAACTATAAAATATTTGATAAATTTAAAATGATATACAAAGGTGGTGTGTAGTATTATTGTTAATACATTACCATTTCTTGGAGGTTGGAATTTTTCTAATTTAGAAAAAAAAAAAAAAAAAGAAGTTAGCCAATACTATACTATTTATCATTTGTTTTAAAATTTTTACTATTTTTTTAATATTTATTAATTTTTAAGATGCACTCACATTTTAGATAAAATAAATTTCACGGTAATATAATTTCACCATGATGTGGTATAACCATAAAATAATAAGATAATAAATAAACAGGGGAATATACACAATTAAATAACTACTTATCCATATAATTCAATAATTACATGATGTTTAGAAATGGTGTAGTAAAGCTAGAGATCTAAGGATCCTTTGATTAGTGGGTCATATTAATTTTTTTTAATAGGACCTACTACTCCAAGGATTCTTATTAATTTAGATTTTCAAATTTGGGATACATAATATTTTTCTTTGATTTTTTCTTATTAAATGGCAACATTATATAACGATGAAGACGTGATGTCAACATTAGATTGAAATTTTATTTTTCAATGTCTTAATATTTCTCTTATTCTTATTTTTCGCTTCATTCTATGATCCTCAAAACTTTTGTGAATCTTAAATAATCAATTCAATAATAATTCATTTGTTAAAAATTTAAATCATGCTTGTTAAATATTTTTTTTGGTTTTATTTTTGAGTTCAGATAAAATATGAGACACAAAATGATTTATCATATATTTTTTCTTAAGAAATTATAAATAATGGTTAGCAAGTACTAGTTTTTTTTTTAAAGAAGACAAAAAAATTTGAAAGTATAAAGCAAGGGTATTTTTTTAACACGATACAAAATTAATATGAAATTAATAAATTATTTTAATTAATTACTTAATATAAACTCCAATACTATATGATAAGTGAATACAAAAATAAATAAATTAAATTATTATCAAATATAAATAATCAATTTTTCACACGATAAACTCATTTAAGAGGTATTATGTAAAAGTAGTATTAGTAATTTAAGGTATTTTTTTTATCAATGATGATTAAGTTATATTTTTTATTTGCCTTTTTTTTTTTGTTTAATAGTTATGAGTTTTCAGGCTAGTTTACATATAACTTGACTATTTTTTCTCTGGTCCAATTAAAACTAGATTATTTACACTANAACTCATTTAAGAGGTATTATGTAAAAGTAGTATTAGTAATTTAAGGTATTTTTTTATCAATGATGATTAAGTTATATTTTTTATTTGCCTTTTTTTTTGTTTAATAGTTATGAGTTTTCAGGCTAGTTTACATATATCTTGACTATCTTTTCTCTGGTCCAATTAAAACTAAATTATTTACACCAGATTTAAAAAATTCAAGAGAGATAAATAACAATACTATTTATCGGGACCTAATTTAAAACTCTAATAGGTAGATTTAATACATTGGGCTTATTTAATTAATAGTGGATTACAATATTAAATAAAGTCCATTACAAATCTAATCGCAATAATAATGTATTATGTTTCTCAAATGTAATTTGTATCAGTTGACCAAGAGTCAAAGTCTCTACACTAAATACTGAATTGACTTGACAATTGACATCTCAGAACCGTAGGGGCTTGAGAAACGCTCGTTGTTTCGCACCGGCGGCGATAAAAGGGGAAAGCCGCCGGCCCCATTGGCGGCGATAAAAAGAGGAAAGCCGCTCCTTTTACTCCATGTGTGTCGGTGGCAGATCCTATCTGTTTCTCCAAATATATATACTATTTCGTATTGTCACGGAGATTCGGGCAGTGGTTGGCTTCACAGACCCAGAAAGATTTCTGATGATCCACCTCCATTTGCGTGAATGGTCAGATCCGAAGTCATTTTTTTTGACAGCTGATCGATCAAAATCCACACATTAGAGAGACTGGTCTTTACTTTATGGTTAAATATCATAATTTATTTATAAATTTTATTTTTAATTTTAATCTAATCCCTTAATTTTTAATTTCAACTCATCATTCCACCTATTTTTTATTATTTTTTTTATTACATGGTGTTTAAATTTGTCCTGACGAATTTTGAATTTGTCATCATAACTCGACTAAGTTTAAAAATATTTCTCTGAAAAATAAAAATAATTAACCCTTCGAGATGTGAAAAATATCGAATCTGAGACCTTATACTTGCAAAAGAGTAAATTTAACCACTGAATCACCTCTAATGATCTATCTATTTTCACCACTTATCAACTGGATAGTAGCCCAATTTGATCCATTTTAAAAGTTAAATAATATATTTCTATTTTGATCTAACAGTGAAAATGAATGAAAAATTTTAATTGAGACAATTTATAGTTGAGATACTAAATTAGAACAATTAAAATTTGAAGAACCAAATTAAAATCAAAATTAGAATTTAAGAATCAATTATGATATTTGTCCTTACTTTAAAGAAGTCCGATATAATAATAAAAATTATAATTCTTAAAACTGTAAGTCATTAATTCAAACGCACGGTGAACACTATAATATTATAATTGATTATAAAAGTTATAATTTTTAAAGTTAAATTATAAAGTAAATTATTTAAAAATGATGTTACAATTATTTGAAATAATTTATGATTGATTATGAAATAACTTAGAAGTGATACTTTATTTTTATTTTTTTTTTAAAGTATAATCTGTCATTTTAAAAATTAATAATTTTGCATGGTAGAATTATTGCAAAGATTTTGATGGATGGGAGTCCATGTGGAGCAATTTTGTGTGATTCTGTCAAATATTTATTGGTGCTCACGCCTGATTTTATTAAATCGGTTTCTTCTTTTGGGAGATCTTTCTACTGATGAAAGATCGGATGGGATTGGATTGGGTCCGATCGGATTTGATGGTATCTCTTTCTCTCCCCCACCTGCGGTGGGAACACATTATCTCACCACTCCTTTTTTCCACAGGAGATTTTGTGGGCCTTGACAGTTGACACTTTTATTCTAGACAATCGTGTGGTACTAACTTGGCCGAGGGAAGTGAGAGGGTAGGGAAAATATAAAATTAAATTTAAATAAAATAATAAAAGAAGATATAAATAACTTACGATTTAACATAAAATATAATGCTTAATAGACCACAATCACAGAACATTCACTTCCCGACTAGTCTTACTCCAAAAATGTTATAATGAGCTTCTTCTTTTTTTTTTTTTGAAAAAAAAAAATATCTAAATAGACTATTCCATGTATCTTTCAGAAAGTATTGCTCTTTAGCATCACAAAGTTATTTGTAAAAAATTTCACCGCACTTACGTTGGGCCCGAAATTAAAGTCTCATCGCGTACTCTAGAAGCTAAAAAATATATTTTTGGTGCGAAACAAAGGTTTAAAAAGTGAAATAAAAAATTCAAAATTTTAAAAACTCTTGAAACCGTTTGAAATATTTTTCGAAAAAATCAAATTTTCTTTTAAAACTCTTAGATAAACCCCAATTTTTAATTCTTTTCTTGGTGTTGATAAAAACTATTTTTGTTAAAAAAAAATTGATGAAAAAGTCGTTCAATAACTCAAGGTCCAAATGGACCAAACTTCTTTTCTTCTAAATCCCCCCAAACAAAGCTCAATGTCATTGTACGTAAAAAAAAATAAATTAGAAGGTGCTAAAAGTGTTTTTTATAAAGTTATATACATCTTACTCTTTTTAGACTCTGCAATAAAAAAAAAAATTATGTGCACCAGACAACTTTTTATTTTAAATATATTACAGCTGTGAATCAAAAACTAAAAGATACGTGATTGAGATAATTGCTTGTTGTTCAAAAAAAAATGTAAAATATCCATTATTTTAGTTAAATTCTCAAAATCTTTACTTTGACCGCTTTAAGTTTTAAGGTGAATCAAACTCACACTCTATGTATGGGAAAAAAAAATATGCCAGGCGATGTGCATAGTTTGAGTTTAAGAGTTAAATAATTCAAAATTACTATTTTTCTTTTGCAAATCGTACTATCTATTTAATAAAGTAGTTAGATTTATTGGTCTTGAGTTTTTAACGGCTCAGATCATTTAAAAATTGTTGATCCAACGATTCTAAATAGACTTTCATTCTGTTTAAAACTTTAAGACTGTCATCTCTAATATTACTCTTTCACTCTCTATCTCATTCATCCAACTTTGAGATGTATATAACTCTCTATCTCTCTCTCCCTTGTGGACATTTTAAACACACATACTCTCTTTCTCTCTTTATATATATATATGAGATAGAATGAATGTCTAATTAAGCTCATCAAAACAAACAATGTTATATTATACTTCTTAGTTTTATTTGTTTGTCTTGATGATCCTAATTGTACTTATTTATTCAAAATATTTGTATGATTTTATAGATGAGAAAATATTTATATATTAAAAGAAAATTTCTCAAATTGTAGGTATTCAAAGCCAAATTAATCGTCAATAAAAATAACAAGTGATACCAATTGTACCAAAAAAATAAAAAAATTTAAGGCCAAGCTAATCACTAATAAAAAATAATAAGTGATATTAATTGCAAACAAAAAACAAAAAAAATTAAATTCAAGCTAATTACCAATAAAAAAATATCAATAACCAATAAAAAAAATAAGTGAAACCAATTGCACAAAAAAAAATATTTTAAATCAACTATCAATTTTTTTTCTTATTTGTATCGCTTTCCTAATGTTCATATTTTTTAAATAATTGAATACTACATTATTCTATGTCTACTATTTCAAATCTTGATGGCATTGTTGTGGATTCTTCCTCATTTGAGATTATTGATTTTGTTTCGGATTTTTCTCCACCTGAGATTGTTGACATTGTTCTAGATTCTGCCGCACTTGAGATTGTTAACTTTGATTCTTTATCTACTGTCGAATGTTCAATTGAGTCTGTACTTTTTTATTTTCAGCACCAGGGTGTTATAATTACTCCTTTGTCATTGATGTCTTGTCCCGTTGAATGTCTTTTGTTCAAATCTAATGGGAATTGTTTTGTTATTCTTGAGTTTGAATCTAATGCTTATTTGCTTAATTTTTTATTGAATGTTAGTATTAGTCCAGATTTTTATTTAGAAGACATGCTACTTAATCGAAGTACTCCAGAGCCTCCAAATTAATGTAGATCGTATTAGGGATGAGAATAGAGAGAGAATTTTAGGAAGAACATTCAATATCAATAATCAATAATCAAAGTCATATTTGTTGGAGACTAGATTTTGATTATTGATATTGAATTTTCTTCCTAAAATTCTCTCTTTATTCTCATTCCCTTCTCCTTTTCTCATCTCTTTCTTCTTCTTTTTTTATCTTTAATTCTTTCCTAATACGATCTATATCAATTTGGTATCAGTGCTAGTACAATTTACATCACAACATCATTAGAAAAGACCATTAGTTGTCTTCTGTTTGGTCAACAGATTACTGAGTTCATACGGAAAAAGTTTTATGATTCTTCCAAGCACCAAGGAACGGTGATTACCTTCGTGTCAATATCTAGGTGATTAATATCACATAACCAAGCCTCCAGATAATGCTTTAGGCATCCATCGTTATGGTTATTTCACCAATCCCTGGTTTGCAACTGCCATTATCTGGATAAACTTAATCGCCATGTCACAGTAACTTAAAGCATTTATATGACCAACATTATTCTTTTAGCCTGTTTAGTTTTCGGTTGAGATTGGTCAGTTAAAGTTTCTGACAATTATGAGTCTGACTTGTACTTCTATATCATTTCTAGGTTATGACTCGCAGCAAAGCAAACTGATGGAAAACTAATTTGTGCTGTTTCAGCTTTCAGAGATCTCTTTGCTCATTATGAGGAAGCTTGGAAATCATGTTACTTTGAAGTTGTTGGGAAGAATCCAACACCATTAGTATCCTAGCACTAGCATTTACACTGCAAGCTCCCTCTTACGATCAATAACCCCAGGTTGACATAACCCAAGGTTGATATACTATTCTTTCAGTTTAAATTGACAAAGAAGAGATGACGTGAAGCTGAATGCATACTCTCCATGCATTGACTTCAATTCGTCATCCTTAGTAGAATCCATGGATTGGATTGTTTAACTCTGTTCATTTTCTTGATCTGTTACTGTCTTTGTTACCTCCTTGGTTTCTAATCATCTTCTCTTTTTCTTTTTGGCTGATATATATCCAACATTTGGTTCAGAATATTTGTCGCGCCTTCCAAGTTCAGGTTGATCATGCCAATATGTTCATTATTTGGGTATGTCAGGATTATGGGACCTCTCTATGCTTGTACAAAGTGAATATCAGGCATTAGCTATGGTTTGGGTTGAATGTCATTTTATCTTTCTCAACAGAGGTCAAATATGATAGTTACTGCACATACCATGAAAGTGAAGATCTTGTGTGAAGAATTTGCAGAGGCAAGTTCAGTGGTCCAAATAAAGGATCTGGTGAGGATATGCACGTTTTGATAATATTAGTTGGTCTCACTGTATAAACCTGGTTTGACAGAATTTTACAGAAAAAATTTACAATCTTCAGGTATGTGATTTACAAAAATTTGCACAAAGCCATAGTTTGCATTGTAGTTTGTAACCACGAATCTCAAAGACGAGCGCTTGGAATGACACCCTTTGTGGGAAAACAAAAGATTGTGTGCTAAGAGGGTTTAGCATCCTGCGTTATGTGGTTGAGCTTGTTACCTCATAGTTGAAACAGATGTTGGTCGAGTTTTGTAGAAATGAAGTGTAAATCCTTACAAAGTCAAGCCTCTATTTGAACATGAAACTGATGGAAAGCTTGCTGTGGTTGTAACCATCAAGCAAGAAGAAGGTAAGTCAAGGGTTTTGCTTGTTTTAATAATCATTGAAATCTCTCAGCTTGGTAAATCCAAAATCAGCTACCATATTAAAATGAAATTGCTCATTGAAAGGCAGGGATGTCAATCGAATTGAATTTGTTGAGTTTGAGTGGGCTTGGTTGTGACTGGTCGGCTCAAATTCTAGCTGAAGATTGGCTTGGTAGAAGCGTGCGACCATTAGGGCTGAAATCGTAATGGTCTGAAATCAAACACAATAACTCAACAATTTGAATGATCACGAACAAGCCAAAACAGATCCCAAATTGCTTGGATTATTTAACAGCCCTGCCGGAAGGATTCTAACCACCCATGTAGTAGGAGCCATAAAATTCCTACGAATCACGAGGTGCTCATTCATGCACGTACCTGAAGTACAGACTTAACAAATTATAAAGGCTCTGAGAGGTCCCAATCATTTGTGAAATCAACAATAACACCGATGAACACAAGAAGCTAATCTATGATAAAACCAAAACCAAAAGAATAATAGAAGACTGGAATATTTTTTATTCAATTTTGGAAAATGTCAATTCACAAATAGGCAGCTCATTATTTGAAACTGAAGTTATGTGTTACAACGAAGAGAGAAAGAGAGAGAACTTATTCGTGGCAATGAAGCTTTTGCAGACCTTGTCATGCTTTTATAGTATTATTTCTTCTTGGACACTGACATTAAGCGTCTTGTTTGGAAGGACAATGCTGTTCACGACCACAACTTCATCTTCAACAGTAACAGCTTCCCCTGATGACAGATGTAATGTCAGACTGCATGAGTTGAACTTTCTCATTTGAGAAAAGAACGAATAAATATAAGTGATAGGGACAGAGCAATAAGAAAGTACCAAGGATTGTAACTCCAAGCTTGGCATTGTAATCTCCTTCAGCCTGTCAGTTGATCACAATAAAGAAACCTCAAGCAACAAAACGGAATGGACAAACAATAAAGGTAGAAATGATGTTTCCTTGAACCAGTAAATCTTTGAGAAACAGAAAACCAGAATTGAAAATGTTATAAGCAACGGAACAAAGCATAGACAAAAGCTTCTGACTTTCTACGAATGGAGAAATGAAGAGACACTGTCCAAGTTCAAATCCAGAAGCATAGGCACAAAATAATTGTTACAAACATTATAAGCTGTCATGTAATGACAAAAAGTGGTTGCTGGTGATGTTCAGAAATGAAAGAAGATAGGAAATCAAGACCAGAGTCATCCTAATAATTTATGTAGGTCACATTTATTTCAAGCATGATGCAGAGATCCATGATGTCATTTCTTATAACATAGTTGAAAAGAGATCTCGTAATGCATTTTCTGCCTTGACTAGATCATGAAGTGCATGTGCATGGGAAAACAGTGAAAATATATTCATTGTATATCTTTTTTATGCAATTTGCAATCAATTGGCTAACTGGGAATCATCATCCGATGGTAGAGTATTAATCCTATTTTTATGCTAATAAAACAGGCATCCCAATCCTTTCACAGCTGCTAACATAAAATAACTCCAATGGTAACATTATTCTATTGGTTATTGGACCTTGTCATATGGTGTGATGGAATGGTCAATTGACCCCATTTCAAAGAGCTTACCATAAGTAGTAATATCAGTACCCTTAAAGGCCACTGCACTGAAGTGGGATTCAAAGACCATAAATACAAATCAAACTATTTGAGATTATTGTACAGATTAATTGTCTCCAATATAAACAAACACCAATAGGCACTTTTCCCATTCGCCAAGAACATCATTTTGAGAAAACCTTATGGAGTTACCTGGACTCGAGACCATCTCCCAATAGAAGACTTCCATCCAACAATCGCATGAATAACAACAGCATTTTCCTGACAAACAATTGAAAAGTTTTAGGTGAAGTTATTAGATGCAGTTCATATTCTTTAATTTGCTTAAATACCTTGATTTCAACGTCATCAAGAACAATACAGCTGATAAGCCTTGCACCAGCTCCTATACGAGCATTTGCAGAAATGGAGACATTGGGACCAATCTGTTCAAAANTCATCAAGAACAATACAGCTGATAAGCCTTGCACCAGCTCCTATACGAGCATTTGCAGAAATGGAGACATTGGGACCAATCTGTTCAAAAATCATAGCGAAAGTATCAGTGACCTAGATAAAGATAAAGAAGGATAGATGAAACACAAAAAGAGGATAACTTAAAATATGATAGTTCTCAGCATTATACAACATTTCCTCTTAATCTTGCATCTAATGTATGCCATTCGGAGAAATCTACTGCTGAAATACAAGGGAAGTGAAGGAATGATGTAAATGCATCCCCTAACAAATGTTTTGGTAATTTAAGAAGTTAGAAGAACATATTTTCATAAACCACAATTTAACTAAAATAGACCATCCATTAAAACTGGCCTGATCAATGCCACCCTTGACACCACCGAAGAAACAATGAAAATGAATCAGCAAACAAATTCAAATTTTTTATTCTAAATTACACGCAGCAGCACAGGGCTCCAACCCTTGTATATTTTCAAACATAACAAAAGATCACAGACAAGAATCAGTATAGATAACCGACATTGTACACAACATGGACACTCAAATCACAAGGGNAAAAGATCACAGACAAGAATCAGTATAGATAACCGACATTGTACACAACATGGACACTCAAATCACAAGGGAAGGAAACAAAATACCTTGGCAGTAGGATGAAGTTTTGCCGATGGATGAACATAAACATCACCTATAATGGTGGCACTCTTTGTACCATCCCCACTTGCCAAGAGATGGGGTGAGGTGAATCGAAATTGGGCAAGGTACAAGGCAGAGCATTTCAAAGACATTCTGCAAAATAAAAAGTGTTGCATGATTGTCTCAATTGAGGAGTTCTTATTTTTGCGTGGGAGGGGAAGGGGAGGATGTTGGCTTACCCAGGAGTTTTGATTTGTTCCCAGAAGTCCATGGTTTCATAGGTATATAAGTGCTTTTTCCCTGCAAGAGGTGACAGGATGTCTTGATCCAACCTTACAAATTCCGTTGAAAAACTCCTGTTAAATGAACTTGTATCAGCGTGGAGATTTGAGAAAAATCAAGCTTCTATCAACTCGAGTCTTTAGCAAAGCTATTCAGTGAGCATGGATAAAAATAATTTTCAGCAGTCATAATTTTTGAATGAAGATATAATAAATCTGATAGTTGCAAAGCCATTAGAGTGCCCAAAAACAGGTCCACCATTGGTAAAACATCAGTTTGAGAAGCCAACGCACTACAAACACGCCACACCATGAGCCAAAAGTTTAGTCCCACATAGAGCAGGTAAACTTTATATGTATATGATTTATGGTGTATTAATTGTTTAAGGGGGCATTGGTGCAATAAAAGCTTGGACTGTTGGGCATGAGTTCAGATATTCAAACTCTGGGACAACTACTTCATTGAATAAATCGGCAGTTAGCTCTGTTAGAGTAATCTAATATATTAACCTTAGGAGTAGATTAGTCATTTATGTTACTATGTTTGCCCTAGTATATAAGACTACTATTGTGTAGTTTATCTCTTAATTTTTGTCTGTAATACTCTAATTATTTTGAATCAATATGTTTCTCCTCTTTCATTGATAAACATTAACATGGTATCAGAGCCATGATCTCTAAACCCAAATATTAATTCATGATTGAAGTCTAGAAGAAAACTTGGTGAACCTGATGTGCTCCGGCCTGGTGAACCTGACGTGAACAGCACTGACGTCATCATCGCCGACGATGACGTCATCAGTCTCCGACAGAGAATATCACCATCAAAATCGAATTTACATAAGCTTCTCATTGGTGTGCTTCCTTCTTTGTTTCGAGTTCATCTGGTAAGGATTTTTATTTTTTCAATATTTTTGGAAAAATAGGCATAGATCTTTTGATCTGCACTTTCTGTCAAAATTTTTGGTTCCAATCAGCCAAGAGAGGTGCGACTAAGAATGTTGAATGATTCAAGATAGTTTAGTTGATTTGGGATGAGATTTGTATGATTGGAGGCTTTTCGGTTACTGTTCTTTCTCCTCACAGTGCACCAACTGCCCCCTTCTGCACTCTGTTGTTGTTTTTCTCCTCATAATGCACTGACTGTGCACCGACTGCCCTTTGGTCTATTTTGTGATTGTTTTCTTTGGCTTCCTTGTGTGTGGGCTGATTGTTGTGCGTTGTTACTGTGCATCGGTGTACCGTTCCTTGTCTTCACAGTGCACCGATTGCTTTGAGATTGCTATTCAGTGGTTGAATTTGAAAGTAGTTCTTTATTGATTTAATTTGCTGTGTTGCTGGGTTGTTGGATTATTGTTATTATTGCGATTTTCTACTTTAATTTGGATATTATTTTGCTGAGAGCATTATGGCAAGTGGACACTCTGATTCTTTTCAGGCTATTAGTGTCAAATTAAATGGTTAAAATTATGTATATTGGTCTTTTATNTGCGATTTTCTACTTTAATTTGGATATTATTTTGCTGAGAGCATTATGGCAAGTGGACACTTCTGATTCTTTTCAGGCTATTAGTGTCAAATTAAATGGTTAAAATTATGTATATTGGTCTTTTATTATGAAAAAATTTTTATTGGAGAAAAAAATGTAAAGTTATGTTAGTGGTGCTTTGCAAGCTCCAACAAATTCGAAGGCAAAGAAATTTGTTGAGTTAAAAAATACCTAGGAAGTCGACAATGCTAAAATCATCACTTGAATTAACAACTCAGTTGATCAGACCATTGGTGTGCATTTGGCTAAGTTTAACACAACCAAAGAGATTTGGGATTATTTTGCTACATTATTTGTTCAGTCTAATTTTGCAAAGAGATATCAGTTNTAAAAAATACCTAGGAAGTCGACAATGCTAAAATCATCACTTGAATTAACAACTCAATTGATCAGACCATTGGTGTGCATTTGGCTAAGTTTAACACAACCAAAGAGATTTGAGATTATTTTGCTACATTATTTGTTCAGTCTAATTTTGCAAAGAGATATCAGCTAAAGCATGAAATTCGAGTTGCATGTCAGGGTGATAGGACCATACAGGAGTTCTACTCGGTTATGACTGGATTTTGGGATCAATTAACACTTGCTGAACCTGCTAAATTGAGTACTTGTATGATATATCGTACTTTTAGGGAGGAGCAGCAGTTGGTACAGTTCTTGATGGCTCNCAGGGTGATAGGACCATACAGGAGTTCTACTCGGTTATGACTGGATTTTGGGATCAGTTAACACTTGCTGAACCTGCTAAATTGAGTACTTGTATGATATATCGTACTTTTAGGGAGGGGCAGCAGTTGGTACAGTTCTTGATGGCTCTTAGAGATGACTTTGAGGGTCTTCGTGGTTCTATTCTCCATTGTCTCCCACTTTCCACAGTTGATGCAATAATGAATGAGCTTTTAGCTGAAGAAGTTCGTCTTAAGACTCTTTCTAAAAAGGGTCTTCTTCCATTGCCTAATAGACTATATTGGTTGTACCACCCAGAGGGACTTCTCACTCACAGACTAAGTATCGGGGTTGANGTCTTAAGACTCTTTCTAAAAAGGGTCTTCTTCCATTGCCTAATAGACTATATTGGCTGTACCACCCAGAGGGACTTCTCACTCACAGACTAAGTATCGGGGTTAAGCTGCTTCAGATATGTAGTTTTTGTCGTGAGAAGGGTCACTGGAAGGCTCAATGTCCTAAATTGGTGAACAAAAATGCTAAGGGGGCCTTACATCAGCCATTTAAGTCCAAAGATCGTCATACAGCCGCAGCTGCTTCATCAGTGGATGAGACACTCCCATCAGCTCCCAGCATGAATTTGATAGCTGATCAATTGCAGAAGCTTCTTTCCCTTCATCAACAAGGTGCCCTATCAATTTCTCCCTCCACAGGTTCATTTACTACATGTCTTTCAGGTATATCTTGAACTGCTTGGGACTTTGACTCAGGAGCCACCCATCATATGACTAGTAATTCTTCTTTATTTATTTCTATTGTTTTTCCTCCCTCTCTATCTGTCCTTGCAGCCAATGGCACCCAAATGTCTTTGGCTGGNCATCAACAAGGTGCCCTATCAATTTCTCCCTCCACAGGTTCATTTACTACATGTCTTTCAGGTATATCTTGAACTGCTTGAGACTTTGACTCAGGAGCCACCCATCATATGACTAGTAATTCTTCTTTATTTATTTCTATTGTTTTTCCTCCCTCTATATCTATCCTTGCAGCCAATGGCACCCAAATGTCTTTGGCTAGTGTTGGAATTATCGTGTCTTCTCAGCTTACACTTCCTGATGTCTACTATATTCCTCAACTTACCTTAAATTTAATATCTGTTAGTCAATTTTTTGATTCAGAATTCTTAGTTCACTGTTCTTCTACTGGTTGTGTTGTGCAGGATCCACGGTCCAAGAAGCTGATTGGGACAGGCCATAGAAATGGAGGGCTATATGTGTTGGATGAACTCCATGTTCCTGAAGTTGTTGCATCCACTGTTGATTTATCTTCTTTTCAATTGAGTCCTAAATCGTTTAATTTTTATTTATGGCATTCTCGTTTAGGTCATATTTCTCATTCTTGCTTAAAATTTTTAGTTTCTACTGGTAGTTTGAGTAGTTTAGAATGTCATGATATTTCAGATTGTAGTGACTGCACGTTAGACTAAATTTACTGCATTACCTTTCAATAAAAATAATTTTCGTTCTGTNGTTGATTTATCTTCTTTTCAATTGAGTCCTAAATCGTTTAATTTTTATTTATGGCATTCTCGTTTAGGTCATATTTCTCATTCTTGCTTAAAATTTTTAGTTTCTACTGGTAGTTTGAGTAGTTTAGAATGTCATGATATTTCAGATTGTAGTGACTGCAAGTTAGACTAAATTTACTGCATTACATTTCAATAAAAATAATTTTCGTTCTGTTGTACCTTTTGATCTTGTACATTCTGATATTTGGAGATCAGCTCTCATTGCAACTAAAAAAGGGTCTAGATATTATGTTTCTTTTATTGATGATCATACCAGATATTGTTGGGTGTATCTAATGACACGTAGGTCTGAATTCTTTTTCATTTTCACTACCTTTCGTGCTATGGTGCATACTCAATATTCTTCTATCATTAAATGCTTTCGCTTTGATCAAGGTGAAGAATATTCTTTTAGTGTTTTTCGNATTTTCACTACCTTTCGTGCTATGGTGCATACTCAATATTCTTCTATCATTAAATGTTTTCGCTTTGATCAAGGTGAAGAATATTCTTTTAGTGTTTTTCGTGATTTGTTGAAATCTGATGGTACTATTTTTCAGTCGTCTTGTACTGACACACCTGCTCAGAATGGAGTGGCTGAACGGAAACATCGTCACATTATTGAGACAGCTCGTTCTCTGTTATTGTCATCCAGTGTCTCTAGCTCTTTTTGGGGAGAAGCAGTTTATCTGATTAATTGCATTCCTACGATCCTTAATCCTGGTGTCTCACCTTTTGAAAAATTATGTGGTAAGACACCTAATTATTTCTCATTATGTGTGTTTGAATGTACATGTTTTGTTCTGCTACCTAGTGTTAATTGTACCAAACTCACGGCTCATTCAGCTTTAGGTGTTTTTCTTGGTTACGGTGAAGGCCAAAAGGGATTTTGGTGTTATGATCCTAGTACACAGAAACTCTGTGTCTCTCGCCATGTTGTGTTTATAGAGCATGTTCCCTTTTTCTCTATTCCATCTAGTTCTTCATCTCTGCATAAATCTGATCTTATCTATCTTGATCTCTTTCCATCTAATGTTTCTCCTAATTCCTATGTTGGTGATATGACTGTGGCTGATCTTCCCACCACTTCTTCTTCCTCTTTGTCTGATTTGTCTGTTACTCGTCCCCCGATTGTGCATACTTATGTTCGCAGAACTCCCACTGTCTCCTCCATAGATGATGTGCCTTCATCTGCACCTCTTGGCTCC